CCCTTGTAAAAGTATTTTAAACTGTATAAAAAAAATTGAAATCAATTGTGAAAATCCATTCCTTATATAGGACGTTCCCTCCTGTTTATAGATGTCCTGCAGTTTAGAACCACACAAAAAATCTTATGAATATTGTCACCGATTAATTTTTGGGAGAGTGAATTTAATCGATGGCAAGAAAAATAATAGGTTTTGAGGATAAAAATGAATAAGGTGTTTACTAGCGAATGATTTGATCACTTATAAGGTTATTTCAAAAAAATCGAATTCGCGTTGTTTTATATATTAAAATTTTTCTAATTAGAGGACTGTTTATTGATGTTGTCTACCCTAGTAGTACAACTAGGTAACCATTGCGCATTACCCAGTAAAGTAACCTTACAAATTCCATGATGCGCTGCCAGTTAATAAAATAATAAATATAATTTTAATTTATATTAATTAACATTTCCCAAGTAACTAACCATCTGTGCCTTTTTTTTCGCGGAAAACCCAGCTTTTTATCACTCTCTATAACAGATTAAATACAACACAGTAAGTATAATAATAATAATGATAATGATAATGATAATAAATGTGTGTATTAGAATTCCATCTCAAGAAGCGCATAATCAGCTTAAAAGTCTCAGAAAGAATCAACTCAAAAGTTTAAATTTATGAAATTACTTAATACATCCCTATAAAAAAATAACATACGGGAGAACCGTATTGTTTTCGTACCTATTCCGTAAAACAATACGGTTCACCCATACATTTTCCGTATATTTTCTTTCGATAATTTTTTATAGTAATAGGAAGTATTTTAAGGAGAAAGATCTCTTTTCTAAAGAACGTTTTCAATAACTATAATAATTTCTAATTAAAGACATATTTATTGATTTCCTTTTGTTATTTATATTTTTCTAGTTTATCTTACAAATAATTTCCTCATAAAGCTATCAAGTATACTTTGCCATTTTTGTATATTTGTTACATTAAACTTTTCCGAGTAAATCATTTCCGATTTAATCCATTCATAATAAAAAATCCGGTCCTTGATACCTAAGATCGGACCATTAACATCCCTATATCTATTATTTTTATATAAAATATTATCTCTATATCAATTATCGATAATTAATCTAGAAATAAATAGACTTGCTTATGTTTGGATTCTCCTGCCCTAGACAAAATATTAAAGAATAGCGTTTCAATTGTTCTGGCAATTCCATGCAAGAAATCACAAGATTCGGAGGAAAATAGAAAGTTGGGCCAAATATGGAACCCTTAATAACATGAATGTAGATCTTTCACACTCTTTTAACAACAATACTTTTGTCTTAAATGTTCAATAATTTCTTCTTAGATATAATACTCAACCTGCATTAAAGCCATCAAAAAACATTTGCTTTTTGATGTCATTATTTTTAGATTATTTTCAACCTTGTTAATTGACTTGATATCCTTAAACACAATATCGACAAAGCTTCTATATTTCATGGTTTTTATTTTATCATTTTCATCATCGTCATTATTAATATTGTCCTTGTCTAAAATGTGACCTAATAAAGGGTCATAAATGCTTTGTTGCTCATGACTTGGGGAATGATGAATTATAAGATAATGAATTTATATAATCTTTTTAAATTATATAATGCTCAGTTTTTTACCCACTTTTATTTCATAAAAAAGTCAATTGATCCGTTTGTTGGAATGTCAATTCATTTATTGTAAAAATACGAAAGAAGTTTAGTACCAGACAATCAAAAATCTTATGGTGATATTAGCCTGTAGAAAAAACTTAGCCGGCTAAGAACTTAATAAATCCCGGTTGATGAAAAAACTTTTCAGGTGGTATTAAGCTTGCCAGTATTATTGTCACTAGTACTATCGTTATTATAATTACTGTTGCTATTGTTATTAGAATATCTCGCCTTTAATGGTTTGAATAAGGCTTATTCGAATTATTTGTTTTATTCGTCATGAATTTGAGCATTTGATTACATTGAGGTTTATTCGAATAAAATGAATAATAAGAATGGAACGAATAATTCGAATAGAACGAGTAATCCGAATAGAACAAATAATTCGAAAGGAACGAATAATTCGGAATAAATAATAAGAATAGAATGAATAATTCGAATAGAACGAATAATAAGTATTCCAATTAAAACAAGAATTCGTATTACAAATAGAAACTCTGACTACGACTTTTATCCTGCCATGATGTATTATATTTTGTTTCTGAGCAAATGTATGATTTTTTGTCATTCTAAGTACTGCAGATGGATCCATCTCAATTAAATGTCTATGCCACTGAATTTTGCACTAAAATTCTGAAAGTAAAAATGAATGTTAAAAGGAGTTTTTTTAGCCGACTAAGCCGTTCAAAAATTCCTTAGCCGGCTAAACCGATAAATTCCTTAGCAAACTAACATCATTCACTACTTACAAATTCCCGTTACACTATAATAAATAATCAATATACATTATTACATATTAATATTAATTGCTATTATTAATCATTTGTCAATTATTATTTTATTGTCGTTGTTGTTGTTGTTTTATTGTATAACTTGCTGAATTATTGGCGTTTGCTATATACAAGCCAAATAACCCGTGTTACTTTCCATTATGTATCACATATCACATGTATACTCTGATGAATAATAGATTAATTCGCAATTCGCCAGAAACGGAAAGAAAATACATATTGCAGATCGGGGCAAAATTTCCTTGTTTATGTAAAAAAATTTTTATCACGTAACTTTATGTCCCACTAACACAAAACATTATCCCCATATATGCATAATGAAAAATATCATGTATCACTATAATTTTCTTTTTTATTAAGAAAGTATATCCTCAAC